TTTTTTTTTTTTTTTTTTTTTTTTTTTCTCTTTTTTCTTTTCCTTAATCTTTTAGAACACTACGAGAATGGAACCGTTGACCTTAAATAAGGTAATACATGTCTTTATTCGATGAGCTATGTCTGAATTGACATGAATTTTTTTACATTTAAATCCTCCGAATCTTGGTTTATAGTGTTGTGGGTGAGGTCTTAGAAGACATTATATCACTAACATGTAGTTTATATCCATTCCTACTTGTGAGGTAGATAGCTCTAAAGATGACAAAAGAAGACTTCTTTAGCTTTATATGGTTTGTGCTCTACGTGAGCACGTTGTTTGCCTGAACAAAAATAAAGTTTATACCCACTCGAACCAATACAACTCATGAGACAAATAGATCTAGAGGAGCCTTATAGATAGAGGAATCTTACTCGTGAGACAAATGGCTCTGATGATGACCAAATAAGACTTCCTTAGTTTATATGGTCTTTGGTCTACGTGAGCACATTGTTTGCCTGAACAAAAATAAAGTTTATACCCACTCGAACCAATACAACTCATGAGACAAATAGATCTAGAGGAGCCTTATAGATAGAGGAATCTTACTCGTGAGACAAATGGCTCTGATGATGACCAAATAAGACTTCCTTAGCTTTATATGGTCTTTGCTCTACGTGAGCACGTTGTTTGCCTGAACAAAAATAAAGTTTATACCCACTCGAACCAATACAACTCATGAGACAAATAGATCTAGAGGAGCCTTATAGATAGAGAATCCTACTCGCAAGACAAATGGCTTTGAAGATGACCAAATAAGACTTCCTTAACTCTATATGGTCTGTGCTCTACATGAGCATGTTGTTTGCCTGAACAAATATAAAGTTTATGCCCACTCGAACCAATACAACTCACGAGACAAATAAGTCTAAACGAGTTTGATAGATAGAGAAGTGGCAAGAGGAGACTTCTTTAGCCTTATATAGTCTTTTGCTCTAAATGAGTCTTAAAGTTCGTAGTTCTATTATCGATCTATTTTTATAAAATAAGGATTGTTTTTATATGATGTATTAATTTATACTATTCACAATTTTTTTTTTTAATTCTTAAAAAATCTTAATAAGAAACATCAATTATATAACGAATGTTAATAAATGTAATTCATTCTATTATTAATTTATATATATATTTTTAAATGTCAAGGAGAAAAGTACTTTTTCATAAAAACATTTTAAAATCAATTTATTATTTTTTTAAGGATTATGAATATTATAATAATAGTTGAAAAATATACAATAAATGTCAATGGCCCCCTGGAAAAAATAATGGAGTTCATCAGGCTGGATCATAAATATTGTCATTTTGCTTCTCAAAAATATTAATTCTATAGAAATATTTAAACTATAAAACAAAAAAAAAAAAACAAAAAAAAGAACGAAAAAGCTCTATAGAAATATTTATTGCAACACATTTAGATATGAACAAAATTAAATCATACTCTGTTTCCTAAAGTTATGACCAATTTTCTTGCAATTCTTTTTAAAAAATGTAGAAGCTTATAGTTATTCTATCCATTATCTTGAGGTGACTCTTCCTTGAATTCTCGAGCTAATATCACCTATTTTCTAACATGAGCATAGCTCAACGGACGTAAAATATGTATTCTCGATCAAGAGATCAGATGTTCGAATCTTCACTCTATAATCGTTGAATACAAAATAATAATAATACCATTGAAAGGTTTTTTTGTCCTTAAACTTTAAAATTTACTAATTGACACGTTAGGAAATTTACAGAATAAAACACAAATTAATGAACGTAGCACGTAGCTTTAAGATCTTAATGATAAGTTTAAAGACCTATTAGACATTGTAGACATTTTATAAAAGTTTATAAACAATATATTTAAGCTGAAAGAAATTAAATTTTTGTTAAATGGTAAACAATCAAATTCAACAATTACTTTAGAGGGTAACCTGTATTAAAGAAGTTTTACAACCATAATCATTAAAAAGTGATTGATTTCAAAATCACTTTTGGGGTAATATTTTGAAAGAAAAGCATTAATTAAGTGTTTAAAGTAAGAGGTAATAAGTTGAATAACAAAAAAAAATGAATATATGAATCAACTGATACTACATCTGAACGAGAGTGATCTGAGAATACGATGATTAAGAAATTCTTAGAAGAACGGGTAGTTACTATCTATATCAACAAGGTGTACCTTCCTTTCTGGTTTGTTACTTGACGGGTAACTTTAATTTAAAATATTTAAAAAATAATATTTGAAAAGAATAAGAAAGAGGAATAAAAATAAATGGATTTTATTGCCACATAAATTTACAGTTTTACCGTCTCACTATGTTTTTTTTACTGTAACAGTAATTTTCAAACAGTATCAGAGCGGACCCCACGATAATCATCTGCAACCCCCCGCCAAAACTGAATAAAACTCTCCTCTCATTGCCAAACACGCCTCACTTCTCCCTCTCTCTCTCTCTCTCTCTCTCTCTACTTCTTTCCGATCGCCGGCGCCAATCCCTCCGCCGCCTTCGCGGCCTCAGTTTCATCACCATGACTTCCATTCCACGGCGGAGCTTTCTTCCTACGCGGCCTCTCAACGACGCGCTCCCTGTCTCGCAGCCGGACTCCACACAGACGCTACGCCGAAGGCTCTCTTCGATTTCCTTCAAGATCCAGCCGATTTCTTCGCCTGTTACTTCCTGGTCGTTTCATAGATCTAAATCGGTGTCTTCTTTGCGCGATCACACTGGCAAATCGCTCCGGAAGTGGTGGGATTGGGGATGGTCCTGGATCCTCTCTCGCAAGGCTGCCTTCGCTCGAGATCTGGAAATGAACGATGAAGAAACAAAATCTCTTAGATCTAATTGCAGAGGTAGTTTCAGACATCTTTTCTATAAGGTTAGGTCTGAGTTCCGCAAACTGATTCGCTCCGATCGCGTCGGTCTTCCTCAAACTTTCAAATACGATTCGGTTAATTACTCGAAGAATTTCGATGACGGTGTGAAATCTTAGGTGTTTTACATTGTAATCGATTTTATGTGTTCGAAGGAATTCAGACTTTTGTGTTGAATAATATGCTCTGTTTCAAGCTAGATTCAGGAAAACTACAAGGATATAGAAAAAGAAGCTTCCGATTCCGCCAATGGAGGCCTCTGATTTTCGCTGTAATTGTTGCCGGTAATCGATTTGGCTAAATCAATCTGTTCATCGTGTTCATTGCTCCGTTCTTCGATCGATCGAAACAGAGAACGCACATTTGATTGCTCGCCGGTCCTGAGGTGAAGAAGAACAGAGAGATTTCAGAGATCTTCATCGCAAATTATGAGATCAAAGAGTTTGAAGTACATAAGAATTCTACTTGTTTTTGCAGATTTTGTTTTTCGTTTGTATAATCACGTCAAATTTCATAGTATTTCTCCATTGTAATTCCAATACTACATTTTCTCTCTTTGCTTTTATTTATTTATTAAATTATAAATTTAACCTCTAAATTTTAATTTTATATCTAATAAATTTTTAAAATTCAAAAACATCACACTTAACCTTTCAATTTTATATATACAAAAACAATTTTTTTTATTAAATATAAAATTAAATTTTATAAATATCTAATAAATTTGAGAATTTTTAAAACAATTTAAATAATTCAACAACATATTAAGACATAGGAAGTAATTTAATTTAATTTTTTTAGGTTTTAGGGCCAAGCTTATTCTACGAGCAAAGGTAATGTGTTTTAATGTTTTACTTATTAATTTATCTCTCAAATTAAATAAGTGTGTAATGACCCTGGGTCATTACAAATGGTATAAGAGTCAGACACCAGACGATGTGTCAGCATTCTCGCTATTCCTCGAAAGGGATAGACACAAGGCGGTGTGTCAGTAAGGACGCTGGGCACTATAGGGGAGTGGATTTAGGAGCGATCCCACATCGATTGGAGGAAGGAAAGAGTGCCAGCGAAGACGCTGGCTCGCTAGCCCGAAAGGGGTGGATTGTGATGTCCTATATGGGTTGATTGGGGAGTAGAACAAACCGTCATTTATAAGGGTGTGAAAACCTTCCCCTAGTAGACGTGTTTTAAGTCATTTATAAGGGTGTGAAAACCTTCCTCTAGTAGACGCGTTTTAACGCCTTGAGGGGTATCTTGCAAGGGAAAGCCCAAAGAAAACAATATCTGTTAAAGGTGGATCTGGGTCGTTACAAAGTGTGTGTTATGTTTATCACCATTTCAATTGTATGAAAAAATAAATAAGAGATTCAAATCAACAAATTTAAAATTCAAAATTAAAATGATTTATTTTTTGTTTCCTCGGGTAAATTATACCTAAAAAAATTTAATAATATGACACCGAAGCAAGTTAACAGTGAATATAAACCAACATACCACGGGAATATATTTGTACCAAAATTTGAAAAATAATCTTTTTTAGTAAAATAATAATAAATACAAATAAAGAAAAAAAAATCAATTATTAATTAGTATATGCAGTTCGAAGTCTACTTTCATTTAAAATTTAAAGGTAAAATGTCGTGTTTTGTTGAGGTTCGTGAGATCTCATATCGATTACAGAGAAAAAAATGAAACATCATTTTATAAGGACTGACGACAATAACAGGTCAAAGCAGACAATATTTGCTAGTTGAACTACTATAAAAATTAGTCATAAAAAAAAAAAATTAATTCTAAATATCCTTAGCATTTATCTTAGTTAATAATTACTTGATTTTATTTTATTAATTATAAATTATCACCGACCTCCATGAATTATTATATACATTTTTTTTAGTAAAAACCTCTAAATTACTAGAGTTAAAAAAAATAGTTTAGTAATTAAAGTTAAATATAAATAATTGACTAAAAAATTATTTATGTTATAATATTGAAATTATTTATTTTCCCAAAAAAGTATCATATAATTGTGGAAAAAAAAAGTGGTGTCGGTGTGAGAATTAATGCATAGATCTAGAGAATGGCAAGAAATTGATGAATAATTAAGATCCCTTCGTAGTTCATGCTCTGTCCAATCTCCTGTTGACACGTCACATATTATTGTCGGTCACATAACTCTCCTACAATATTGGAACCATATCTTATTTACTTCTATTATTCTTTTAAATATTATTTCACAAAAAAAAAAAAAAAAAAA